AACATACTGCGCCGACAAATACGACACAAACACCGTCGCGGCCTTTTGTATCGCCAGGACGGCATCCTTCTGGATGGAGGTATTCGGCGGCAAGACGGATTTTGCGAGACGGAGGGTGAGGGAGCGGGGGAGGAGGTAGTCCTTCATTTTCATTTTATCGTCAGCATTTCATTCTTTCCTTCCTTGACCTTGACCTTGACTTTGAATTTGAGGAAAAAGGTATGAGAATGGAGGGATACCTCTATATTCGCCCTCGCTTTAATCTGCTGCTCCGTTGCCTCGACCATCTGGCCTTGTGATTCGGGTAGTTGGATGGGATTCGGTGGAGGGGATTGTGTTGCTGTTGTTGTTGTTGGTGGTGCTGGGGGGTGTTCGTCGCCTGGTGTACCGGTGCCCGTGCCGGTGCCGACACTGCTGGTGGATTTTCGGGGCATCCTATTCTTCTCCTCTTTTTTTTTTTTTTCTTTGTCGTTTGTTTTGTTGGTTGGTTTTGTGTTCGGGTAGGTAATGTGGGCGAGAGATTGAGGGTGTTGGTGTAGAGTGAAAGGGTGGGTGTGGTGTGGTTTGGTGGTCAGTGGGAAAATGTGCAGGTCTGGTTCGTTCGGTTTGATAGGGACGCGACGCGGAGGACTGGATTGGACTCTGGGCGCGTGTGGATCGGGATCGGTCGATCGGTCGATACGGAGGAGATCAGTGGTACGGAGTAGATACTCGATGGCGGTTAGGGTGGTGATAGGTTTGTTGTAGGTGGATTGGGATTGGGGTTTGGTGCTTGATGGGTGGTTGGGTGTTCGTTTGCTTAATTGTTGGTATTTGAGTGGTTCTGGTGGTCTTGATGTTGGTGGTGGCGGATGGTGGCTGCGGAGATATATAGTCAGTTGCTGGTGCACTCATGTTATGGTATTAAGAGGTCAACCACGCTACCACGAGTCTACGATGAGATTATTCAATATAATGTGTAGTAATCAAGTTCATGCATATATGGCTACGGACTACTGTCGCTGTCGCTTGTCATACAATCAGGTTTAGTATGTTCATCGTCATGTCTAGCAATGACTATCTACCTTTTTAAGAACCAGAACGCCTTGGTATCCAGGAAAAAACCATCTACTCGGCCATCTCATCGTCAGCCCCGTTACCCCAGAGTCCCTCGATCTTGAACTCCGCCGCCCACTCGGTCACAATCTGCTTCGTGTCCACCCCAGCCGCCGTCTCCGTCGCGGCCTCACCTGGAGCCGCCACCGGCAGCACGGGCGCGTTGACCCATCCTTGGATCCGACCGTCCCTCCAGTCGTTGATCACCGTCATCGCTGCAGCGTCGAGGTTCGGCACACCACCCTTACCCAGACGACCGCGCTTGCGGGCCACGTGGATCAGGAAGTCGTGCGTCTGGTCGCCCCCTGTCGGGATGAGCGGCGGGATGTTGTACACCTGCAGCAGCTTCGCGATGAGATCCTCCGAGCTCGACAAGCGCTTGAGCAGCAGAGACACGGCGGGAACGGGGTCCTCGATCTGCTTAGGGGGTACCGCGTTCAGCAGGATCAAACGCGCGTGCTCCTCCTGCTTCTTCTTCTTCTTGTCGCCCTTGTTGCCCGCGTTCGGGAAGACAATACCGGGCGAGTCGATCAGCTTGAGCTTGCTGTCCAGCTTCACTGACCGCAGGCTGGTGGTCACACCGGCCTCGGCGCCGGTCGGGCAAGCATTGCTGGAGCCCTTGTTGAGACGGGCCGTGAGGGCGTTGATGACGGAGGATTTGCCGACGTTGGGGTAGCCGATCACACCGACCGCGATGGACCGCTTCATCTGCTTGTTGTGGGCGTACGACTTGAGCGCGCGGAAGAGCGTCTCGGAGGTGCCCTTGACGGTCAGCTGCTTGTGGTCGAAGCTGTGGGCGTTGGCCGCGCCGTTGGATGCCTTCAGGGGCAGCGTAGGGAAGTACCGGCGCAGGTGCACCAACCAGGCCTTGAGCACTGGGGGAGGCACCAGGTCGATCTTGTTGAGGATCAGGATCAATCGCTTGTTGCCACCATCGGCGGACATGATCGCCCGCTCCACCTCCTTGGAACGAGTGCCCTCGGGATCACGAGCGTCCAGCACGTACAGCACCACATCGGCGGCATCGACCACCTGCTTGAAAACCTTGTCGAAGGCCCGGCGCGAGCTCTCCTTGGATGCAATCTGGTTGGTCAAGGAGGAAGCAGTGACGTTCAGGGTGGCACCGCCGTCCTCGATGTCCTCGTCCATTTCATCCATGTCCTCATCATCGTCCTCATCCATCTCATCGTCATCCTCCTCGGACTGCTCCTCATCGTACTCCGCGGCTCTGGCACGGGCGGAAGCCAGCAGCGCCGCCATGGGGTTCGAGGAGTCACCGACATCCTCATCCATCTCGTCGTCGATCAGGTCGTCCTCGTCAATCATGACATTGGCATTGGCCGGAACAGCTTCCTCGCCGGATCCTTCCTTCTGAGCCAGCTTGCGGGCACGGGCTTCATCGCGGATGCGCTGTTGTTCCTCCGCCTTCAAGCGCTTTCTCTCTTCGATCTCGTGGAGGATCTTGTCCTTGTGGGGGAAAAGGTTCGGGATACCGGGGTCCTTCTTGATCTTGGAGCGCCACTCGGGGTTCTGCAGCGGGCGTCAGCATCTTGTTCAGATGAGAGTGTTTAAATAGGAGGGGCAAGTACCTGCTTGGCAAGCTTTCTCTGCTTGCGTTGCTTGGCCGCGGAGGCCTTTTCAATCTTGTGTCGTAGGCGGACGGGCACCCGCTTCGAGTTTTTGCCTGAACACTTAGCAATGAACGGATACCCAGTCGGGAGGAAATCCACATACCTAGCTTGACCATCTTGACTGATGTGCAACGTCCGTCTCTGAGCAAGGCGAATCGGCACGATCAAGAGCGGACTGGCCGCCCGAATAATTTTGTGCCGCCAAGGAAGATTTCGGCGGCCAGACGCTAAGATAACCGGAACCACGTTGGGCCGATCTCCGAGGGCCGGGTCTTTTCTGGAGTCTTTCGGTTTCATGACGGGACGCCCGCTGATGCTCATCGCGCGCTGCCATTCGTCTTTCGCTCTGAACACTTCATTTCCCCCTCTTTTGTCGGTCCCTCCTTTTGCTGCCTGCGTTGGCTGACTGTGTTCGCTCCTTACATCTCACTTCTGCCGCTACCCCCCTCTCTCTCTGCGTCGGTTTCTGCCTCGCGTTCAGCTTCCCCCACTTTGGCGATATTTCTGTGCTACACCCCGCCGTTATCATGTCTAGACCAGCCGGCTCCTTTTCGGCCCCTCCCCAAGTCCACACCTTTGACGGCCTGCTTTCCGATTTCGACGGCACCATCGTCGACTCGACTGATGGTCAGTTCCCCTCTTCCCCTCCTTTCACCACCCCAAAAATAGGTTCGCTGACGTCTGGTTTTTAGCCATCGTGAAACACTGGCACAAGTGCGTCCCCACCATCACACCACCCGTGTAACGAAGCGCCTTCAGAGTTCAAGTCCTAATCCTAAATCGCAGAATCGGCGCCGAGTTGGGCGTTGATCCCGAAACGATCCTGGCCACCTCCCATGGCCGCCGAAGCATTGACACGCTTCAGCTGTACGACCCGAAGAAGGCCAATTGGGAGTGTAAGTGACCCCCCCCCACCCGGCGACACCAGTCTGCAAGTTCGATTAGGAAAGTCCAACCTCAGCATCATCATAAACAACACACTGACGGGTTGCCTTTTCAACTGCTAGATGTCAGCTACATCGAGGGTCGCATTCCCAAGGAATTCGGTTCGGACGCCGTCGAGATCCCTGGGGCTCGGTATTTCATGTCAGCGTTGGACGACGCCGGTGCTCGCTGGGGTGTGGTGACTTCGGGGACGCGCGCGCTGGTGGACGGCTGGCTGGGCGTGTTGAACCTCGCCCACCCCAAGGTCTTGGTGGTGGCCGAGGACGTCGAGCTGGGTAAGCCAGACCCCGGGTGCTATCTGCTGGGTCGGACGCGCCTGGGTCTGGAGCATTCCTCGTCTCTGGTAGTTCTGGAGGATGCGCCGTCGGGCATCAGGGCGGGCAAGGCGGCCGGGTTCAAGGTCATTGCGCTGACGACCACCCACTCGCTTGCCCAGCTCCAGGAAGCCGGAGCGGACTGGATCGTGGAAGATTTGCGAAGCATCAGCATCAAGAGTGTGGTGGATGGTCAGATCCAGCTGGAAATCCGCAACGCCTTCCAATAGAGGGTCTACACGAGGGAGGTTTCTGGAAACCGACGAAAGCTTGGATCCAATCGATGCGGGCAGTTTGCTTTCCATCTCTTGATTTATCTTCCATTTCTTGCTTTCTTTTACATTGCCGTTGCCCATCACACTTCATTTCTAGATGGCCTGATTTATTATTGTGTGCGGGTCACAGTAGTGAGATCATGGTTCACGACTTTTAGATAGACAGACATAAACCAATTGTACATAGACAGATACCTACCCACCCTACCCTAGCTTATCTTACCTTACCTCTTAGATAAATTAATTAGCGAATCATTCACATCCACCTACACCCATACCCATCTCAACAACCAACAGAATACTTACAAAGCGAAAAAACAACCAAGGAAGAAGGAGTATGACACGACACCCACACTCACACACCAGCTCATACCTCAAGACCTACCTACCTACCTACCTACCTACCTACCTACTTACACGCACATCTACCTACACGTACATAGTACACTAAACTACACCCACACCTCGCTACCTTGCATCACACTAATGCCACCCACCCACTTACCTACCCACGCACACAAACACAAAAGGAAGGTCTAGATTCGGTTTCCTTTCATTTAACATGTGGGGTCCATGTTGAAGTAGCTTGGGGTAGGTAATTCATGTGCGCTTCTTAGTGCGAGGTGGGTGCGTAGAGTGTGGTAGGTGGCTATTTACATGAATATGATGGAACATAGAGGAAGGGGGATGAATGTACAAAGTTCTACCTGCTCCTGCATCTTCATGGGTTCGGTATTGTCGAGAGCTGGGTACTCCGTACTTCGACGGTAGTAGGGAAATAGTGGGTAGTATAGGTAGTATGATGATCGATATACGGAATAAATAGGGAAGAGATATGAGGTAGGTCCTGGTACCTCACCGGTCTCTCGAACGGTAAACCCGGGGTGAAGGTGGATAGACGAGCGACTTACCCATGGAGTACTCCAGACTCCGTACTTCAGACTCCAGACTCCAGACTCCAGACTCATACCAGCGGGGACTGAATAATAGTTCTGCAGGTCGGCTCACCCAAAAGTACCTCGTACATAGTACCTAGGTCCTGTAGGCTGTAAAGAGACCGAAGAGGGACCGTACCTACAGACGGACTTCCGAACGCAAAGGCCCATGCTAGCGGTGAAGCCAAGCAGATCATTTGGACTTGCTTTTGGCCAGCCAAAGTGGCTCCAAGGAGAAACTACCCGGTAACTACGGAGGAGAGACCTAGTCAGAGCTCCAATGCACGCTGGGTGGTTGCGAGGCCGGGCAGCCCTAGGAAACTATCCCACACCGGCAGATCCCCAAACAATACCCTCTCTCGCCCTGTCGTGACAGATCGCATCCGCTGAGGCATTTTCGGAAAGCCGAGCGCAATATATCAGACGATTAAGTTAAACGGCTGTCTGTTGAGGTCACCGACGGGCGCTCACCGACAACTCGGAGGCGCCAATCGTCAGTCCCAACCGATTGGAGGCTGGTGGAAGCAGGAGCGCTTGCTCCGGGGGCCTGGTCCCGGGGCGGAACGGAGGAATTGGTAGCGAGAAGGGTCATGGCAGCGCTGGACTTATTGCATAGTGGCGGCTGCAGTGCTTATACTTAGGCTCTGGCCACTACGGCTGCACATCAGGACGTACGTAGGTGGCCGAAACACACGGTCCAGATGACGGGACGAGCGACGAGGCGAAACACGACGAAACAAACGGATTGTGCCAGATTGTGCCAGACTGACGGAGTACCTACAGGATGTGTGCATAGGGAGGGGACCACCTACCGGCCGCCGTTCACAGGACACGAGCGAGCACAATTGCAGGTTCCAGGGGGAAGGGAACGAAAAAGAAATTCCGCAATAGTGGCGGAAATCCTTTGCACATCGCAGACCCGAGAGAATCGCCTCGTTGAGAGAAGGGGGCGATCGGGTTCTGGAAAAGAGACGTGTCGACTTGACGACGAAGGCGAACTTCGATCGGCGCGATCCCTGCTACTTTGGCACCGGAGATCGAGTCGAGCTCCTCCGTGGGCCAGCGCGGCGCATCTGGCCCCCCCCCCCCCCCCCCTCAAGGTGCGTCTGACGCCCTATGCAAGGGATGAAGCAGGCCTTCCGGGCGTGAGTGGTGGTGGGTTCGCCTCTTTTCTTTTCCTTTCGCCTCCGTGCCTCTTCCCCCCTTCCCTGTGGGAGAGAAGTTATGGCACCGGATGCTGATGGGGGTATTACGCTGTATCACTAGTCAATGAGAGATGGTCGATGTGATTATCAGACAATGATGAGAGCAGGTGAGGAGTGGACTAGCCATCGCTGCAGCAGAGGCGTTCAGGCAGCAACGATGTGATCTCTTGTACAGCAACCAAAGTCGTCACACCCCGTCAGCCCTGGTTCGAGCTGGAAGTTGGAACACGACGGAGGACTTGTCAGGGAAGTTAGCCGCCCTGAGCGTTGAGCACCGTCGCACCGCGCGCAGTCACGGAGTTAAAAAAGGTTAGGATAGGAGGTAGATCGCGGTGTCCTGTGGCGGCTTCACGGAGAGCCTATCAATCGGGGGGGGGCTCTTATTGTTGCGTCGTGACAAATCGCGGTGAAGCATCCTGGTTCCGACCACACAGAGGCATTCATCCTGATTCAAGTCTCCTGCAAGTCCTGGCGACGGCAGCGTCAGCCGGGGGTGATACTGGGATACTTTCCCTTCAGACTTCAATCCGTGATTCCAGTGGGATCCGGCGGCAGGCCTGAGGCCGTCACCAGTCAGGTGAAGATCGACATGTGGCTGAAGTTCTCAAGGCGCACCGCCACATCCACACCATTCCTGTGGCGTCAGCTGAACATCGGCCGGAGTAAGTCTGTTAGTTCTCTACGGAGTAAAAAAAAAAAAAAATCTGACCAGAGCCATGACAATCTCGCCAAGGTAGATCCACATATGCATGGTCCTTCTGGGTTGCACCCCTAAGCTTCAGCCCATGACATCGAGATGGTGGGCAGTCCATCCCACCTACTGGTCAACATCCCCGGGCCAAATGTGACAACCGGAGGGTTGATGGACGGGATGGACGGAGTGATCAGACCCAGGGGGATGGGCAGATGGAGTCGGATGGTATGTAAGCAGGGAAGTTTAACTACGGGCAGTAGAGGAGGATCCCCCAGTGCCAAGTCAACCTTATACCCAGACAGGGATTCCATGCCATCGCGGATCGGACCCCCGGTCCAGCAGCTCGGCTCCCACTGGCCCGCCGACGGCCATCCTTAGTGAGGCTTTCAGGGGCCACTGGCGGCCTCTACCTGGTGCACCCCCCATCGGTTCAAGGTATCACAAACCATCACTCCCATGCACCGAGGATCATCGGGGATTTTTCTTGCTTTTTCCCTTTCCTTTTCGTTCGGTTCCTTTCTTTGCTTGTTTCCTTTCCCAGGGTCCAATATTTGAGATCCCATCACTCGGGCGACAACGGCCTCGGTGAGATCCAATCAGCCTATACGGATCGCTATGGAAGCGATCCGTGCGGGTGCCGGTGGATCCTCACAGGGGGCCAGCGTAGGCAGTCAGATCCCTCGATTCCATGTTGCCTTTCGAAACAATCCATGTAGGTCACTGGGTATGGGGGGTGGTGTTTGGACTCTATGGATGCACACTATTCTCCAGCTCTGAGATGTGACGCCTGTGCTGATTGGTCTGAGCTTGGTTGAGGGGTTGTCAGGTTACTCGACATGAGCCCATCTGTTGCAACGCCATTTTCCTGCTGGGTGGACAGCTGTGGCAGGGTGCTCCCAGTTCCCTGTGCTTTAAGCTGTTTTTAAGGTGCTGCATACATACACGTGAACCAGAGGCACCCGGTGCGTTTTCGTGTCTGGTTGGATGGGAATCCCGGTTACCCTGGCAGGTCCTCAAAGGACGGCTAGCTGGTGGATGACCATCAGGATGGAGTACTTCGTTCCCAAGGGCCAGTATTACTCCGCGTACGGAGTCGTCGCCGTAGTACTTTAGCACCGCCCGAAACTCCGTACGGCGTACCCCCATTGTTTGGCCCCCTCTCCTTTCCGGTTCCACTCAGTTCTCAGATAATCATCCATCCTTCCCCACGGCACGTAGTCAGGCGGTAAATCCTCTGGACTTGGGCTATGGACCCGCCAGGCTGGAGCCACCCACCTGAGGCATCGACTGTCAATGGGCTTCGGGGCAGGTGCATGGCGGTAGCGAGAACGAAGGAAATAGACTCACAGAAGAGTCAGAAGAATACCCATGCATGCGTGCATGCATATGTATATCGGCTCAACAGTTCTCGTTGCCCGTCCAGACCTGGAGGAAGCGCATATGATAGCGCCAGACCAGGACCCCCCTAACATGGCATTAATGACCCCGGTCCTTCGACTGCTGCATGGGAGGAGATTGCAGATCGCTGCTGCGTCATCTCGTGACTTGGCGCGAGCGCTGTGACTGCATCATGATTAGCGCCGATTACGGCCTGTGTTGACAGAAGCCAGAAATCCAAACGAACGAATGGTAGGTATCGCTGAGCGTCCCTAAGCGTGTAGGGCGCTCTGAGTGGGGGTTTCTTGAAGGAGTCCTCAGCGTTGGATCCTGAGAGCATTGGAAGAAAAAGGAAAGGTTGGAAATGTTCGACAATCGACAGATCCCTGAAGCGGATCGACGAGGATCTGTCGACTATTGATTTTAGTGGGCCTTGGCTGAGCTGCTGCCACGCTTTTGCAGCCGTCGCGCTTTAGAATCGCCTGGTCTCTCCACTTCATTCTTAATTTATTTTTCATTGTTTTCTTTTTTTTTCTTTTTTTTTCTTTTTCAAAATTGGCTCTTTTCTTTGCACTGGTCGTGCTGTTTTTCTTTTTCTCTCTTTTTTAAAAAAAAAAATTCTATTGGGGATTCGCAGATCCAGGAATCCCAAGAATCTTGCGGAAAAGGATGACAGGCATTTTTCAGAGATCCGTGCCAATTGAGTTACCGGTACGGCGTACGCCCATACGGGAATTAAAGGCCAGTGCATCTGGTACGTCTGGTATGGGAAGAGTTGAGGCAGAACTGACTTTGCGCTCGGCTGGCCGGAGCGCCTTCCCCGCTTCACCTCTCTTTGTCTCGCGTATCCTGAGGAGCAAAGTACCGATTGTGATGGTATACACGCTAATTGCCAAGTAGTGGGGGTGGTCTGATCACGTCATGGTCCTCTGCCCCAGTTCCCCAGGACGTGCCACGCTGCAACCGCGAGATAGGAGAGACCAAAGAGGGTGAGGGAGCGAGATGCCGATGGACCAGCAGTTCCATGGGAGTGGTGAAG